TTTGTCATTTAAATCTATAGATGGATGCATCTCAAACTATTTGCAAGATGACTTTTGATTAATTCTGTCTGTGGGAGAGAACAGTGTTTGTGCTCAGTGGTCAAACCCTTCAAGGGCCTCCATGGCTCTGGCTCTGCTCCACTAAAGCTTCTGCTGGACATCCAAATCAAATCCCTGAAGTTAATGGACCACAAGTGATTCACACTGGCACATATTTCAGTTCTTCACTGAACCACCTTTGACCCCAGCTGTGGCAGGCAAACTTCTGTCCAGTCTGTGGTGGGCTTACTCTTTCCTTCCATCTCAGTTGGTATTTAAATTAAATGTTTAAAAGAATGAGTTTGTCGTTTCAAAGCTACTTTGAAATTATGTATCACAATATTTATAGTACATCTCCTGATCCCATGCTCTCCAAGAAAATATTCCAAAAGGGATTTTTTTGCCTTCAAGGGGGGAGAAAAAAACCCATTGCTCAGCATATTGTGAAATATGCAGAGAGAAGGCAACAAGCTGCCATTGCATGTCAGATCTGTGAAAATAAATGCTTGATGGAAGATTTTACTTTCATATTTCCAGGAGGTCCCATAAATGCTAGTGATAAAAAAAAAAAAATAAATTATGAAAATGCAATTTTGCCATTTTCTATTGTTTGAGCAACACTATCATCCATGACTTTATTTATTTTGATAGCCTTTTTAATTCTGAAAAATGAAACTGCACTATGGGGACTGCTGCAAATTTTTTTCAATGTCAGCGACCAGATCACCCTAAAAGAAAATTGCTGCCATTTAAATTGTTTAAACGAAGTGTTCAGATTTCCAAAGACACTCAGCAGCCAACCACACCAAGATTATGGCACAGGCAATGTGTGATCATGTTCTTATACTTGTCAGAATTGAGAGCCTGTGGATGGTTTTGGGGGGTCTTCTTGACTCTCCTGTGTTTTAGAGCAGTGGGTCATGATCTCCAGAAAATGCTAAATTGCCACTCAGTGTTGTATGTCAGAATTGGGTTCTTTTTGTATATTAATTCTTTAACACTCTCAAAATATTCCCAAACCAGTGATGTGTAACACAGCAAATTTTTTATCTTTACCATCTTCAACACTGCTCCAACCATAGGCTGTGGAAGTCCCACCTACTTCCAAAATGTGAGAATTCTTTCAAGGAATATTTTGACACTCTTTATCGCAGGAAACAAATCCCATCCAAGTACTTAGGTCAAACTTCTTTTCCTGAAACAGGAAGGTGGAGTTCACTGAGAAGATAAGGTAGGAGAAGCACCTGGACAAGTAAGAGCTCCTGTAGTGGGGTGGGAGTGGAACAAGAAAATTGGCAATATTAAAGAACAACTGAACTGAAAAGGTGAGGAGGGCTGCAGGACACACATGAAGATTGCACAGCTTTAATCTAATGTGGGTGGACTCCATAATCTGGAATCTCAGGGAAACTTAGTGACCTGTGATAGCAGAAGGTCAAACAGGACCACCTAGTTGTCCTTTAAGGCTGCAAAATCCCATGAAAGGCTATTTTCATGCACATCAGGAAAGGTAAATGGAACAGTGCTGGATTCCATTATTGATTGGTGATATTTTTGGTGATATTTTCAGGCTGCATGTTACTGGTAACAACGCAGCTTGTTGGAATGATGGTCTCAGGGAGAACTTTGCTTACACAGTAATTCAGCCAAACGCCTCAAGAAACTAATGAAATTTGTTAATAAAGGTTGAACAGCTTTCATATGGATTTTTGATAAGGAAACAACTGCTCATTTTCTTGGGTAGTAGTAGAGTCTGGAGGCCATAAGATCTGATAAAGGATAAGCAGATGGCTCAGAGTAAACAATTTGAAGTAGCTCTTGTAATTTCTTTAAGATCTTGGTACATAACCTGACACTAAGAGGTTATACAAAGCTCATTGAGCTAATGGTGATCAAGTATTTATTGCTGGAGGGCAGCTAGAGAGATGAAAAAGGCAGCCAAAATTCACTGTGAGATAAATAACATCCTGCCACACATCCTCCAAAATGGGATTTGAGTAGTTAAAAAGTGCCAGAAGAGCCCGAGTGAAATGCACTCTGCACATAAGGATAAGCATCACATGCTGAACTGGGATGTGTTTGGTCACGTAGCCTGTGACAGTCAGAGGGGCTCAGAAGAGAATTGTCACACCCAGCAGGCCCAGATTGCAGACCTGAGGCTTCCTGAGAGGAAACCAGGACAATTCTTTGATCACAGAGCAGCAGAATGGCTGAGATGGGGGAGAACCCCTGGTGCAAACCCCTGCTGAAGCAAGGCCACCTAGACCCAGCTGCCCAGGCCCATGGACACCCAGCCTTGGGGTAAGTCCAAGAATGGAGGCTCCACAACCTCCCTGGGCAAACTGTGCCAGTACTAGGTCATCCTCAGTGAAATCCAGCTCCCTGGTGATCAGAGGGAAATTCCTGTGCTTCAGTTTCTGCCCATTTCCCCTTGTCCTGTTGATGGGTACCACTGAGAAGAGCTTTGCTCTGTCCTCTTTGCATCCCCCCTTCAGGTATTTATAGACACTGTCCCTGAGCCTTCTCTTCTTCAGGCTAAAGAACCCCAGCCCTCTCATCCCTTCTTCAAAAAAAACCCAAAACATTCATCAGTTGTTTTATCTTGAACAGACAGGAGGAGAGATAACACAGAGAGTAAACAAACCACCTTAAATGGTTTGTTAAAAAGAATTAAAAAGAATATTTACTTCTTCCTCTTTAAATTAAATCCTGCCCACAGACACTCTGAATGGCCTCAAGTGAACCCAGTAAGTTTTACAAGTCTGTACTAGGGGACAAGATTAGTTTCTGGAGCCAGAAGACTATTTTGTAACATGTAAGCTAAGAAAGGGTTTGGCAGCAGAAAAGCTAAAAATTTAGTTCTCTTGTATTTAACTTTAGTTGACTCTGGAGTTCACAGTGTCATAGAAGGAAATTCATTAGTTCATCAGTTCCTCTGCCATTAATATGGGCCAGCAGTGAGTGCTCTGGATTATTTTGTCTCTTGCTGCTCGGACAGAAATTACTACATAATCTGGCCTCCTTTCTAGTGAATTTATTTTTTATTATAAATAGATTAGAATAAACCAACATACTGTTATCTCAGGAGCTGACTTCCACTGATTTAGACAAAAATTTAGCAGCTTTTTTGTTTTCCTTAATAAAGGTCACTTCTGTTCCCAGAAGCTGCTATTAACATGGATCAGATCACACTGATATTTGTTAAAGTTTTTTCATCATGGAAATACTGCTCAATCTCCAAATGTTTCAGAATATGTCTCAATGGTTATAAAAAAATATATTTATATAAATCAGTATGGCTGGAAATGCTTACAGACCATGTGTGACAGCACTGGAAGAGCTGCTCAGTGGTAATATATGATTTATATGAGGCTGGCTGCTCAATGACTAAGTTATCAATCAAAAATTCATATGCCAACTTTTTTCCAAGCTCAGACCCGTACAAGGTTACCTATCTCATCTTCCCATTAACATTTTTATGCAAAACACCTTATGAGATAAAAGCAGAAATATTCTAAGCTACCTCTGAGTTGTGGAAGTCATGCTTGGTATATTTATTAGATTAAAAACGATTTAAATATTTCAAGGGCTAAAGAGGGGAGTGTGGCATATGTCTTAATGATGTTAATAACCTAAATTTCACACTTCTTAGTAACCACACCTACTAACAATTACCAAATTGACAGATATATGTGAAGTTGGCATTTTAGTGATTCACCCAGCAGAGTTAAAGTGTCTTTTAAAAGCCCAGAATTTAACTCTTACCAGTTTTTCCCTGACATTCATGTCACAGACCTGAGCACAGAACTAGAAATGTAGCTGACAATGATTCAAACTCATAATTAACTTGATGATGATTACACAGTTTGCTGTAAGAATTCTCCACACACCCAGATGTGTTTGTTTTTCCACCTTGACTAAAATTGCTGTTAAGTAAGTTCCTACAAAGGACATTCTTCAGGCACCAAACAGTGTCACAGCCCATTCAGATAGGACAAAATATGGCAAAATATGTGCCCTGAATAGTCAATATATTTGCCCTAGTTTGCAAAGTAGTAAATGATAGCATGGCTCTACAAATAATTAAAGGAGTCTAAATAGTCACTGGGAAAATGCACCCAAATGTACACAAAACCAACACATGAATTCACACTTTTACAGTCAGAGATGTCTGACTGTAAAAGTGTACAGAGATGTAGTCAGAGATCCTCCAAGGAGAAATATTGTAAGTTCTGATGTCCTCCTGCAAAAAGTGAGAATGGGAATGGGAAAATGGCCTCAGATCTTCCAAACAGACTCAGATAAAAAACAACATCAGGTTAAAAGATTCAACAAATGAAATTTTAACTGATACAGGGTCTCTTGAAATTATCAGTTCTCTTGAGCTGAGGACTCAGTCTTTAACAATAAAACAAGAAATATAAAAATGAATGTGTATAAAATGCTCTTCATTCACACTCTTCTACTGATATTTATTCTACTCTTCCCTTGACCAGTGTATGGTCTTCCTCCTTTTCTCTTCTACTGATTTGTTCTCTTTCTCCAACACAACTCATTAGAACCTGTGATTTTTGTATTTTTTTCTGATTTTACTTTATCTCCCTCAATTCTTTTTTTTTTTTTTCCTCAACAATTTTTCCCAGGTCTGCTGAGCTCTCCTTACTTTTCCCACCATCTGGCTAAACAGCTGCTTCTGATAGCACTGAACAAGCAAGTTGTAAAAACAGTTGTTCAGAAGCTGATTTTACCTGTAGTTCCCATTCTCTGTGGGACAGGAAGTTCAGATGATCAGGACAGGTGAAATGATGTATGAAACAAAACTTGATGCATTAAGGAAAAAACTGATGTGGCACAAACGAGTTGTAAAGACAACATGGATTGGGCCAGCTGAAACCTAAACCATTCTATGAGATACAGCCAAAGAGGGGAAAAAAAAAACCCCAAAACTGAAAAAATCTCACCAGATTCTTCAAATTCACTGTTGTATGCATTCCAGGTCTCACTGATACGGATCAGGTTCTCTTCCATGGCTTGAATGTCCATGTAGGGACAGTTGCACTCCGGGAATTTGGGGCCACACTGACACCAGCAGTCATTGTCCTTGCAGATGAACTCCCCCTCTGAATTGCAGGCGATATAGCTCAGGGCTGCCTGCACAAAGTGCTCCTGCAGGTACTCAGGAAGGATGACCTGAAGACCTGAAGGAAATGGAGGAAATAATATGGTATTAAATATAAAGGAAGTTCTTGAGCCGAGCAGCTTCCCCAGCTTACCTAGCAAACAAACAAACAATTATGAAAAACAAAAATATAGAGAGTTTTTAGGACAGCTTGCACATCTGTCCAGCATTTGTACTATGTCATCTATTTCCTTTCTTAATAATTATTTTAAGACATATTCCTCACATTTCTCTCTCAGCAAGGAACATCCATCCACTAATGAGTAACCTGTATTCCTCAGACAGAGCATTTATTGTTTTAATCTTTCTAGGGGGATGGTGTAACATCAGCTTCTCCTTGGGAAGAGCTGCCGAGTGAACAGCAGCCAGAGCCTTGCAGCAGGAAATCACACAGCTGAATTTATAATCTTGGTGCCAGCAATAATGCAGATTCTGAAAATGCTGATGAAGGGAAAGCAGCCCTGAGAGGCAGAGTAAAGAGACAGCATAATCAGGAAAAGAGGTGCAAACATTTCCATCCAAAATTGGGCTCGTTTTCCATGTTTCCTCTGGCACAAGGAGATGTAGCTTGTCTAAATAACTCATTATCTCTTGTGATTCTGTAGGGGCAAACTAAGAAGGAAGGGGGCAATTGGGTTGGAAGAAATCTTTGAAAAATAAAATTTGTTTATTTATTTGTTTATTTTTCTAGCATTGGTAGCAAATTGCTCTGGGACAGTCAATTGCATGTGAAGGGTACGGCTACAAAACCTCGAGAAAGAAAACTCATTTACTACTAAAGTTTTAGAATGGAAAGGGTGCAAAGTCCAGCTCCTGTGGGGCTTCAAAAAACTCCTGCTACATGTGTTCCAAGTAATTCCTCATCATATGAATTGGTTACTTGGTGATTTAAGTCTCTTCTCCATAGGTACTTGGACAATTTCACAGAGATTTACCCCTTATTTTTAGGTATATACAAGACTACAGCTGTAACAGTAATATCAGAACCCTTCCAAGTCAAAACTCATATCACAATTGCTGAAGCCTGGTCTGACTGTGCTTTCTTCTGTCCTGTGTCAAAATTTGTAGAACTTCTCCCTGAGTAAATATTGTAATGTAGTTTTGTGCTTGTGAAAAATCATGAGGCTGCGAAAGGGAAAAAAAGCCCAGTTTGATTATTCTATTAAAGAGTTTACAGAGTTCTGATAATACATTTCTCCACATGACAACAAACCACAGTCTGCAAAGAGAATGCAAAGATTATTTCCCAAATTTTAACTGACAAACATCATATATTCTGGAAATTATCAAAAATTGTATTTTCTGGAAATATTCATGGCATCCAAGTGGAAATGACAAGTTTTATGTAAAAAAAAAAACAAAACCCAAACCTCTCTGGGAATTAATTTTATGTTTTTATGGATTTCATTGATTTTGGGGAGAAAGGAAAGGGGTAAAAACACATATGGATATTTTAAGGAAGAATCATAGGATCATGGACTACCCTGAGACTGAAGGGACCACAGGGATCTTCATCCATGATGTTCTTAATATCACCAGCCACCTCACACTTTTTGTCTGAGTGATTTACAAACTCATATAGAGAAATTTAAAACTTGGAAATAATTGTGTGTCTACCTTCAACTGCAAATTCAAAATTGTATTGTTCTATTGTGGCACAGAGTCAGAGGTATACACAAATACACACATCAAAGAGAATTTAGTGGGTTTTTTCATAGTCATAATTTGCTCTTGCTTTATTTTTGGAAATGAAAATAGGAAGTATAATAAAATATAATATATATATAACTTATAAAGTAAAAATTACTAACAGACCCTCCCATAAAGGGGGACTTTTGAAACAATTTTATGTCCTAAAATGCGAGCTGGGAAATGCTTCAGCTGGAATTTTGAAAAATAATATTATTTAGAAATGATGACTCTCTTCTTCCATTTTCTTCCTCTTTCTGTTTCTTTCTATTTCTCACTTTTATTCATACACAATTGCTACTATTTTCCTAATGAGTGAGATTTTAACTTTCCAAGTTTTGTGGGTTTTTTTTTTAAATTCCTGAGAGGAGGAGCCCTTTGACTCCTCCTGTTTTAAATTATTTGAAAGTGTATATCCTGCTCCTCTGGTGACTCCATTAACTTTGTTGGAGCAACTGCATGAGGTGTAAGCTGCTGCTCAGTATGTGCAAGGCAGGCTGAGCACATTAAATGTCACTCCCAGCTTGGCGGAATCTCTGGGAATTCAGGCCGTTTAAGAGGTGTGCCAGTGGATGCTAAATAGGGAAGCAAAATGTTAACAGGGCTATTCAAATTATTTTCTGATGGGTGCAGAAATTGTTTCTATTTGAAAGGCAACACGAGGTACTGACATTTCCCTCACTTTGGCTGGAACACACTTATTGCACACACACACACACGAAAAATTAGGAAAATGACCTTTTATGAGGTGGAAGAAAGAAAAAACAAATAGCGTGATAAATGTCACCCCGTTCCAAAACAAATTAATGAAATTGCACCTACATACCTTGCAACTGAATCTTATTTTCAGGACTCTGAACCAGGACAGAGCTGACAGAATCTAGGTTGTCATAGTTACTGCAGCCGAGAGGACCCGTCCGTGTCTCTGTTACCTGGTGGAAGGGAAGGGAGAAGCACTTGCTGGATTATCCAAAGCACACTGAGGAGTTCAGAAGATTGTTTCATAAAGTTTCCCTCTATTTCAGCCAGAAATACATTTTGGGCTTAATTATGGTGAAATAACAATTTAATTGCCAAAAGGATGAGTGTAAATGTTTTAACAGCAGGAAGTGCTATTTCTGTCACAGAGAATCCTTACAAACACTACACCATTACCAAACTACACAAATACTACAGCAGTATAACGCTAGAATGGTGTAATGCCACACCAACAGTCTAAAGACAATTTATTTTTCATAGCTGTGGGAATTACAGTTAGTTTGTTAAATATGGTTTATAAAGATGAGGACTGTGATTTTCCCTCTTGAAAATTGTGCACATTACAAGTCCTGCTTGAAGTCATGGAAAAAGCTTTCACTTTTCCAGTGATTTTTGACTTTTCTAGTGATGATCAGGATTTGGAATTAAAAACACTTTATGAGCAGTATTTATAATGATGGTAGTGGTGGGATGTTTTTTTTTCATAAACTAAGATTAGTTTAGACTCAAAATTCTGGGTATTCTGTCTGTTTAATCACCAAATCCGTGGCCAGAGAACCAAAATACAGCTGCATTTATCAAAACAGAACCTCCACAAGCAGAGCTCTGGCTTAACAGTGAAGGTTTGTATTTGGGATAGAGAAGTTGTTTATATCATGGAATCATTAAGGTCAGAAAAGCCCTTTCAGATCTTCAAGTTCAAACATTAACCCAGCACTTCCAGATACACCACTAACTCATGTCCTAGGCACCACATCATGGGTTTTGAACACTTCAAAACAGTGTTCAAAAACCATGGGAACAGTGCTTCCACCACTGTCCTGGGCAACTTGTACCAACGATTGTCCATCCATGCAGTGAATTAATTTTTTCTTAATATCCACCCTAAATGTCTATCCCTGGCACAACTTGGTGAGTAAACACATTTAAATAAAAGAGAAAAAAAATGTTAGTGATTTATATGCTTCCCAGAATATTATATATTATTCTTAAGTGTCAACGAAGTAATTTAAAAGGCCAATTTCTTTTTAAAATGAGAAGTATAACCTATCCCTTCATCATGCACCTCTATTTTTCAGCCACTCTGCTGGTACTTTCTACTTCTCTTCCTTTGACTGTTTCAGAAACTGTGGCCAGGTTTACCCTTATTTGGTATCTGCCTTAGTTTTGAATGCAACCGCTTCTATTTTCTATTTTCTATTACTTCAGGTATCATATTCAGCTCCAGATCTCCTGGAGAATAAGCCTAAATTACAGGGTCAGGGTGCAGATTTCCAAAATACAGACATGCACTGAGCAAGTGACAGCCATGCAAGCAGACAGCCAATGTGAGTTGTAAAGAGCAGAAGGGAGAAGGTATTTGAGCAGTCTGATTTGATGAGAATATGAAGGTTTGCTGATATAAACCCTGATTCTTCATGTTGCTGGGGCTTGCCCACAGCCTGTGGGTGGCTGCAGCTGGGTCATGATGTTCTTGAACCACTGAGATCTCACATTCCCCTTGCCCTTTTGCAAAGAATGCATGAGATTTTCTGTCATTCCCAGCTCCTGGCACCTTTCCATTAATTTGAGGTAGAGTTCCTGTGGGGGGACAGCCCATGGGGAGGACACAGAACTGGCCTCCACCAAACCTGTGAGCAGAGCTCGAGATGCATGAGGAAATGGGACCAAGCCAGGCTGTGTCCTCTCTGCACACATTTGGAAACCTTTAATATTTATGATAGGAGCTGATTTGCCATGGTTTTTGCTTCATCATCTTGAGCCAGCACAAAGACTCTTGCAGGGGGATAAGATTTGGATTGGATGTGGCTGGAATGACAATTGTGATTTACCTGTGATGCTTCAGTTCTCTGCCAACAACTAGTCTAAAATTCCATTCTAAAATATGATTTTTTAGAAGTACCCCCAGTCCATATATAGAATCTTAATCCCTTTATACAGTAACAAAGAGTGTCACCTAGATTAAATAAGAGAAATAGCCAGGAGACAAAAAAATAGACACGTAAATGTTGTAATTAATTTTAGCCTTACTCTGACATATTACTCTCAGCATTTGTCTATGCAATTATTTATTTAATGATCCATTTATTTTAGTTTTCATTTGCATATTATTATTATGATTTTCAAGCATTTCTCTATAAGGCAATGCAGCTTCATAAAGTTATATGGAATGTATAAATTACAAAGCAAATATTACAGTTCCTATCCATTTTTATTACTCTTTTATGCCCCCTGAAATCACAAAAAAAGGAAGGGTGGTAAGTAGCTTTGTAGTTATTGTGCCCCTTTCATATTTCTCCACTCTTATCTGAATTATGCCAGACATAGGTAGAGAATGCCACTGTTTTGAGTGATAGCATCTATAAATACCTTGATTCAGAAGAAAATTATATAGGGCAGTTTTGATATGATTTACAGACAATCATTGCAGTGAGTTAATTAAAAATAATAATAATAGTGATAGACAATGCTCTATAAATACCTCAGTAAATAAGGCCACTTTCTAAATGTTAATTTTCAATTCAAATCTATACATTTATATTATTCATTCTTTTACTTTTCCAGGTACATTCATACCCTCTGTCAGCTGCCTTGCTCTGGTACTCTTATCTTCTGCATAGAAAACACATTGCAAGAAGAAATCCAAAATGAATAGTCTCAGTATGTAAAAAAGAAATGCTAAAGAATATAAAAATCATCCAACCTTCAACTTTTGGCAGATAACAATTCTAGTCAGAGATCAAAGCTGTGCAGTTACATATGCTTTTGTATACTCTACACAAATCCTACTCCACACAGATTGTAAACCAGAAAAAATTGTGAGCAACTGATAAATGAAAGCCTCAAATTTCTATCAAATTGAGATCAAATGAAAGGATTTGATTTTCCTAAATTATACAGTTACAGACTGGTTTGGGTTGGAAGGGACTTTAAAGAATATCTAAAGAATATCCAACCCCTGCCAGAGGGACACTTCCACTAGACCAAGCTGATCCAATCTCCATCCAACCTTGGAAGCCTCCCAGCTTTTGGGGTAAGTTTGGTGATAAAAAGGCAGACTAGAGAAGAAGAAAAAAAAATTTTGAAAGGATAAAAAGTACATTAATTCTGGTATTAATCTTGTATCAATAAATATTATATTAATACAATAATAAGTTTGAGCCAAATGTTACTGATGATTTTACTTTTTTTGTTTCGACAACAATAGGAATGAAATTGGAAAGGCAATGGCACGTCTTTAATTATCTCCCAAGCAGAGAAGTGTGACTTTGTTCAGTCCCAAGATCACAGCTGAAAACTGTGTTTTGTCAGAAAGTGCATGAAAAACGATGAACCAAAAAAAGGAGAGGGACAGGTAATGAAATGCAAATTATGTTGAGATGTGGCATGGTCCAGAAGTGGCTGACATCGTGCAGAGCACCAGAACCTCACATTTGTTTTGCACGACCTGCACCCCACAAAGAACATTAACTCACAGAGCAAAGCACCACAGAACAAAGTTATTAAATAACCAAAAACCCCCTAAGAACAGTAAAAAACACCTGTGAAATCATCTGACACGCAGCAGGCAGGATGTTCTCCAGTGCCTTGTTTTCAGAGATTATCACAGAGCAGGTGTCCCTGAGCAACAGAGTTTTCAGTTCCCAGAAATAAACTCTAACATTTGGCATTAATGAGACAAATGCCTACAGTTTTCAGTCAGTTAAATCTCATAACCATGGTGATAATGACCCGATTATAAGTGCACTGAGAACATACCTCCTAGCACTTAAGCATGGCTGAATTCTTGTGATATCAGTGGGTAGTATTTCCCTGGGAAACAGCCTGCTTTTTTTGTCCATGATAATTAAGCCTATAGAAGGCTTTCCTAATAAAAGGGAAATACATTTCTGCAGAGATTTTGCTCCTGGTGTGTCCTTTTAAGTGCACGTAGCTAATATTCCTAACGAAGTGCCCATGCAGAGGTGGTGTGTGCCTCGCATAAAGGACTGTCCTCTTCAGCAGGACTCTTTAAAAATGGATTTGGCTTCTAAGGAGGAGAACTGAGCCAGCACAAAGGAGGATGAGGCAATGCTGGCCACTGCAGAACAGACAGCTGCGCTCACATTCACATAAACCTCTTTAATACCTTAAACATTCAAATGAGGATTTAGAGCAAACTCCTCGTACCTGCAAGGGAGCCAGGTCTGTTCTGAGTGCTTGTGCTGACAGAAGATGGGGGAAAAGTGTGGAACAGGGAGAAACCTGAAGGCTTTGGTGTTGTCCTGAGTAGCATGATGGTGGTGCTGGGCTGATGGCTGTGTCTGCTCATCTCTGAGGTCTTCTCCAGCCATGAAGGTGCTGATTCCACCACTCTCCTACCAACCTCACCTTCAGGCCTTGTCCTGCAGCCCATGCTCCCACCCCCTGTAGTCCCTGCCCATTCTGCAGTCAGTGCTCATTTCACCTTAAATAAAGAGTTGATCAAATAAATAGGCCCTAAATGTACTTTCTATTTCGATGTGGGTCTCCTGCCAACTCTCTTCTTTCTTTTCCCCCCAGGCTTGACAGTTTTTCACAAAAGCACCTTTATTCCAGTACTTCCCTTTGCCACACAATAGCTGCTGCTCCACTGCCCTATTTTTGTCATTGAACATGTTAAAAAACTCCTGCTAATGAGTGTGCAATTACAAATAAATCAAATTTTCTGAGCGTTCCAAGCACTGATACTTAACATACTACGGGCTAGATGAACATTTCTGAAGGAGGTACAGGCAAACCAGAAGCATTCACAATGTCAGGGGTTGGATTCATGTTTTCAATATGATTTTTGTAGTTGCCAGGAATTTAAAACAATACCTCAAAGGCATGACATATTTGCAACAGATTTTCTAGCAGCATAGAACTGACACTTTAATTTGAAGAGCCCCCTAACTCAGGAGACCTGGAAACACTCCCATCCTATTTTTCTGTC